CCCATCCTTGGCCGGAGCCCAACCTGCAACTGGGGAGCGGCTGGAAGTCACAGCATCAAACCTCTGCGTGGTGGACAGCATTCGACAGCAGGAGCTCGCGTCTGTATCACTGACACCTAGCACGGCCCAGGTGCCGGACGGAAATCAAGACACCGGAAGACACGCAAGCCCAATAACAATGGGAGTTTGGGTTGCCTTTGTTGTTGTTGTTGTTACGTGCCGTCGAGTCCAACCTGACTCACAGCGACCCCTCCTTGGGTTTCCGAGGCAGTATCACTCCAACCTTCCTTCCACACCAGAGGAGTGGCTGGTGGGTTTGAACTGCCAGCCTTCTGGTTAGCAGTCAAGTGCCTTAGGCACTACGCCACCAGGGCTCCTTGAGTTGCCTTTAAAGAAACTTAAAATTTGAGGAGACAAATACACATTTTCGAACGTCGCTCCCTGTGGTAGGCTGAAACCCAACCAAATCCACTGCCCTGGAGTCAGCACTCACTCACAGGACCCTATGGACAGAGGAGAACTGTGCCATAGGTTTCCGAGGCTGTAAATCTTGACAGAAGCGGGCTGTCTCATGTCTCGCCCATGGAGCGGCTGGTGGGTTCGAACCACCGACCTTCTGGTTAACAGCCCAATGCTCTAGCCACAGTGCACCAGAGCTCCTTCGCAGGCTGAGAACGGTCCCCAAAGCACATTCAGCGCCGAATGCCTGTCTGGAGTCCCTGGGGGATAGAAACAGCTAACCAAGTGGCCACTAACAGCCAGACTGGGGGCTGTGGTCCACCAGGAGCCACTCGGCAGGAAGGCCCAGTGGCCGGCTTCTGAAGATTCAGCCACTGAAACCCCCAAAGAGCAGCGGGTGTCTCAGCACAGAGGGGTCGCCTCACGGCGACACGCCTGGTGGACAGGGTGTTTATCTGCAGACCAGCTCTGAAACACACAACATCATCCTTCTTGGGCCCCAGGGAAATAAAGTCCCAACTGTGGGACTGTGTTTGGATTTGTTTTTCAAAAGACAGATATAGGGGTGTGGGGTTGCTCTGTGAGTCCTTGTTTTCAGCTCAAGAAACTTACAGATGCGTGAGGTTCACAGACACCAGCCTGGTAGTAAAGGTGGTTCATTCAAGGCCGCACATCTGGAAACACTGACACAAAGACGGGGAAACTCCAACACAAAGACGGGGAAACGCCAACGTGCCGAAGCCGACATGGAAAGTTAGGTACTGATCTCTGCTCTCGAATCAGTCCCAGACAAATTACATTCTCTGGACAGTGTGTGTGTTTACTGTCCAATTACACTCTCTCCAATACAGCCAGCCTTGGCTGCAGCTGGCTTAGCACTTCCTGGTGGGGACAGCATCTTACAGGGAAACATGATTTGAAGGCAGCTGAAAAAGAACGGACTTGTCTCTGAGGTTGCAAATCATATCTGCACCATGAAATTCATTACAGACACCGTGAGGACATGCGACGATGTGAAATTTTTGCTTGTTCTTGCTGCCTCGGGAATAATCGCTGAATGACCTAGCACACGCCCAGTCCCGTGCTAACGGCCTTCTGAAATCACCACCCAGCACTGATTCATTTGGTTAAGTTTTCTACATCCAACACAGAAAGTGCGTCCTATGCCCGGCCTGTCGTACCATGTCACAGGCTGCTTTCCGGCTGCCTAAAAGCCAGCAGTGTCTGCATCGCACTGCGCCCGATGGAAGGGCGTTTAGGCATTTCCACTCGAAAAAAGTTCCAAAGTATCAGGGGAAATTCCATTCCCTTCAACTGCTGGGTCTAATAAAGGCGTCAGGAGCAGAGCAGGGCCTCACTGAGGACCTTACAGGCCACTCGTGTTTAGAGAGCCGGGCTGCACCTTTCTTAAGAAACCTTGTAACTGCAGCATCAAGAAAACAGCGTATTCCTGCAAAACCGAGGGGCGGCCAGCGAAAGGCAGGCCCCCTCCCGGCAACACGCAAGCGGGCCAGGCTGCAGGCCGGGTGGGGTTAACCCCCAGCTGGCCCGGGCTGCAAGCCCTGAACACCTCTGTTCCTGGGCACATGCCGGTTCCCCGCACGAGGGCCTGCAGATCCTTCTAAATCCTCATTAGCAGCCGTCAGCCCTTGACCACACATTAAAAGGCAGCGGTGAGGACGGCTGGATCCACACAGCTCTGCCCCACATCCCACCTGCACAGAACGCCCCGCACGGAGCAGTCTTGACCTCCGGTGGCACCCACAGCCCTGCACCATCAGTGACCCGGGAGAGTCCGAAAACACAAAACCGCTGCCGTTGAAAGCCTGTGTCTGAGAATCGCTTTGAAGTTTCCAAGAGAAATCTCCTCTTGAAATTCTCCACAGAAAAACCTGTTTACGCGGATCTGAGGCACACATCTAAGCGACCAACAGCCACACTTCTCTCCCAGCCTACGTCCTTCCCTGTGGCAAAGGGCACTCGGGGGAATGCGGGAGCCACGCCCGGGGAACGTGGCCAGAGCCCAGAGGAGGAGGACTGCCCGGTAGGTGCCACAGCGTCCGTGCCAATCAGGCACTTCCAGGCCAGGAACTGAGCCCTGAGCTCCCAAACTTGCTCTTCCAACGGAAGCAGTGGTCGCTGGCGCAGGGAAGGGAGGCGGAGGGGGCAGGCACCACGGGCAGGGCCGGCGGGAGAACGCCTTTACAACTTGAGGGTTAAACTCCGCACTCAACTGTGGGGTGCTGCCTCCCCGCGCAGCTCCGGAGGGGAGGGGGCCAGTCCTAGTGGCTCGCGGCCCCCCCCTTCAGCGCTCAGCTACAGAGCTCCAGTCCCGGAATCACCGCCCTGCATGGCACTGGCCGCTGAAAAACCAAGTCCACATTCCAGGAACCTTCCTGGTCACTCCAAAGCCCCTGCCCTCACACTGGGCTCAGCCCTCCTTGGCCCGGCCGCCTCCCCTCCCCAGGGGCTCCACATCCGGTCTCCCGGTCCCAAACGCCTCTGGGGTGGGCGGGGTGACTCGGCCCCTAGCCCTCTGCAGTCACCTAGGGTCTCCACACAAGCCCGTCAGAGGCACCCCAGCACAGGGCCACGCGCGTGCACACGCACACACACGCACACGCTCGCCCCCCCCCGCGGCCACACACGCGCACACACGCTCCGTGCGAAGTTACTGGCAGCGCCAGAGGTAGTAGCTGTGTTCCCCTCACCTTTGGAGAAGAGGGCTGCCAGGCTGATGAGCAGGGGGGACCAGGGGTACCGCAGCGCCCCCATCTCAGACGGGCACATCCGGGGACCGCAGCGCGGGTCCTCTGCTCCCCCGGCGCCGTCGGGGCGAGGACGTGGCCGCCGCCAAGCCGCCGG